ATAATCCATAATAACACTTCCTCCAGTGAAAAAGTGGTCTGGTCTGAATCAGGAGAGAAATCTGCACAGATCAAGCACCGTTTACAAGCCAAAACAGCTCTAAACAAATATGTGGCTGGATTTTGATGTGAGAGACAACAGGAGATGCACTTTTTCACTGGAGGAAGCGTTATTATGAACTCATATTTTAGCCAGAAGCAACTGTTTAAAGTTAAAAATGTCTTAATGATGGATTTGTTTCTCAAACACGCAGCTTTTGTCTTCTCCAGATGTTAACTGATGGAGTGGAGTGGTGTGGATTACTTGTGGATTATTGTTATGTTTTTATCAGCTGTTTGGACTCTCATTCTGACGGCACCCATTCACTCCAATGGTGAACAAGTGATGCAATGCTACATTTCTCCAAATCTGATGAAGAAACAAACTCGTCTACTTTTTCTGTAGATTTTATTTTTTGGTTGAACTATTCCTTTATTTTGTGACTTTATGCTTGAGATTTAGCAGTTTAATGAGACTGTAAATGTAAAATTGCCCTGTTTACAGGAATGAGAAATGTCATGTGCACTACACCACTGATTTCATCCATAAGCTCTACTCCGCCGAGGGGAAAGGCGTCTTCGACTGCAGGGTCAATGTCCTGGGACACCTGCAGCAGGTACAGACTCATGCTTTATCACTGAACTCATTTGAACAACTTTTGACTCGGATCCAAAACCTACTGAGCTCCCATGATTTCTACTTCATAAGGGAGCATCCTCACTGAAAGTCTCTGTGCAACTGTGCAAGTCTCTGTGCAACTTGTAAATCATCCTCTAAAATCACCTGATCTTCATCACCTGACTTATTGCACACATATTGCTAAACTACATACTCTTGATACTCTTATAAGCATTAAAATACACAACACACACACAAATACTGGGCGTAAAAAGTCTGATTCGTTTCATTATATTTTATTTCTTGCAACTAAACCGGTATTCATAATCATGAGGTATTCAAAAAACTTTAGTGCATCAAATATCTGATAACAATCAAAGCAAAGTTTCGATTTGAGTTTCATCTCTAAACATACATTGGTTATAATAGTGTAAATTTTTGATGTTGTTTTTCTGATATTAATAGGGTGGAGTACCAACACCCTTTGACCGAAACTATGGCACTAAACTGGGCGTTCGAGCCGTGCAGTGGCTGACAGAGAAGATGACCGACAGTTTTAGACAAGGTGAGACGACGTTTGCATGCTAAAAACTAAATATAACTACGTAAATCCTTCAGAATTTAAATTCACATCAGGTGACAAGTTTAATGATCTGAAATCACTGTAATGGAGAGGCTCGAGTTTATCGGTCACAGCACTGTTGTTTTCCTGCTGAAGCCAATGGGATTTAGTCGCACGACAGAATGAATTCCCTGAAACTGTGCAGCAGCAGATGAAGTGTGAATAAAGCCAGTGTTTGTGTCTGCAGGTCGTGTGTTTGTGAACACCCCGGACACAGCCTGTGTGGTCGGCCTGTACAAGAAGGTTCTGACCTTCAGTCCCATCACTGAGCTGAAGGACCAGACGGACTTTGAGTGAGTGACTCTAACAATTACACACAGAACACACAGTTCTTTATTGGTCACATACATCTTACATATGTGTGATATAATGTGCAATAACAAACAGAAACAATAACGTTTTAAGGAAATACACACACAGTATAAGTAATAGAATATAATAAGCTGTCAAGAAATATGTGAAAATAGAATATAGTAGAGAAAAAAAAGAACAAAGTAGATATTTTATGCAAGATATACTAAACTATATGATATAAACAGTAGCTGTACAGCTTATTTTGTTAGATTTTTTTACTGTGCATACTACACACATACTACATACTACTTCCACAACCAGTTAATATCAACCAATAATATCATAATTTTCAAGCAAAGATGTACTCATCTTAAAAAAAAATTTTCCTTATAAAAAAAATAACTGTAATTTTAGTATCATTTATATTTTTGTTAAAATTTTGAATTAGATTTTATTTTTATATTTTCTGCTTTCACTGTAATTTGAACGTTTTAGTAATTTTAGTATTTTTGTCAATTTTATTAGTTACTTTTAAATGCGTCTACATAGTATTATTTTTTATTAGATTGATTTAAGCAAAGATATACTAAACTTTTTCCTCATAAAAAATTTGTTTATTTTAGTATCATTTATGTACTATTATATTTTTTATAATTATAATATTATAATTAAAAATAAATATATAATTATAGTTTTTTATATTTTGAAATAGATTTTATATTTTCTGCTTTCACTTTAATTTGAGTAACTTTTAGTAATTTTGTTGTATGTTTTTGTCATTTTTATTAGTTTTTTAAATATCTATATAGTATTTTTTTATTAAGTTTTAGTTATTAATACTTTGAGTTAAACTGAATGATAATGAGAAATGTTGCCTTGACAAGTAGCTCACATAAAATAAGTTTATATATACATATATAATTTTATTTAAGTTATAGTTTATTATTTCAAGTAAAAAATGATGCACATTCTTATGAGATGAAGAAAAAGCTGTTTTATTCTGTTGAAGAAATTCAATCAATTTGCTACTACTAATAATAATACCACTTTCTATAGTGCTTTTCCAGTTCTCAATGTATTTTACAAACAGTAATAGCAGGCTCCGTCATATGACATACTTTACACACACATAATGACAGGACAAACTGCTATCAGTAAAGCGTTCCTCTCGCCCTGCAGACACCGGATGCCCAAGACGCAGTGGTGGCTGAACTTCAGACTCATGCTGAAGATGTTGGCCAAGTATCAGACGCCCTTCAACGAGTACGTGACGGGAGAGATCGAACACGTGACCCGCCGCTCTCTCAGCATAGACACTGGCTTCTAAAACCAGACACTGCTAGCGCCATCCTTCTGCAAACACACCAAACTGCCACTCCTCCGTTAAAACGGGTAAACGCCTGATCCTTTAGTGAGTAAAGGAGGCTAAAACTCCAGATTTGTGCCTAAACATGATGCATTCGAGTCCTGCATTTGCACCATGTTTACGCTGAACTCATGCAGCGTCAAAACTAGATCACTCCTGTTATAATAGAACGGTTTCCTGATAAGTTGACAAATTATTTTGTTTGCAAATATCGTATGTGTGAATAGATCGCTATGTATTTGGACCGTTTCATCAAATCCAGCTTCTGATGTGTCTGGTCTTCAATTAAACTCACATTGTTTCTAACCATATATATATATATACTGGGGGCCAGAAGTTTGAAATTATTAAGATTTTCAAATGTTTTTGAAAGAAGTCACTTCTGCTCACCAAGGCTGCATTTATTTGATGAAAAATACTGTAAAGTTTGCATGATAGGACTAGGTGTTACGATCCCAATATTCAGCACCATAGAACATTTTCCCTGTGAGCACTGTGAAAATAGTAAAATATAATTTATTGCTGTGATCAAAGCTGTATTTTCAGCATCATTACTCCAGTCTTCAGTGTCACATGATCTTCAGAAATCATTCTAATATGCTGATTTGCTGCTCAAGAAAAATTTCTGATTATTATCAATGTTGAAAACAGTTGTGCTGCTTCATATTTTTGTAGAAACCGTGACACGTTTGTTTTTTTTAGGATTCTTTGATGAATAGAAAGTTCAAAAGTACAGCATTTATTATTTTTGAATCATACTTAGGCCATGCTTTTGAATGGTAGTGTATCACAATTTTCATAAAAATATGAAGCTGTTTTCAACATTGATAATAATCATAAATGTTTCTCGAGCAGCAAATCAGCATATTAGAATGATTTCTGAAGATCATGTGACACTGAAGACTGGAGTAATGATGCTGAAAATTCAGCTTTGATCACAGAAATAAATTACAGTTCAAAATATATTCACATAGAAAATAGTTATTTTAAATTCTAATAATATTTCACAATTTTACTGTATTGTGTTTATGCACGATGTCAGTGTCAAATTGTATTGCTGTTCCAAAACAACTAATGCAAAGTACATTTAGCATTTTCTTTCATGGTGCAATGCAACACCAGTCACTACCAGTGAAAACACCGTGTTATACTTTATACTAAAACTGCTGCTGTTAGTAGATAATTCAACAACTCAAAAGTTTCTATAGAATTCACTGTTATACTCTGCCAGATCTTTATTTCAGCAGCTTTCCATAAGGGAAATGGTTTGATGTATCGTGATGAAGCACAGGTGGTGATTATGATTATGAACCTGGTGCTTTGATTGTTAAATGTTTGAACATGTATCCTGTAGTTGTGAGCTTCAGTAACGTGACTGTTATATTGTGTGCCTATGCAGTGTGATTAGTGTAAAGCAATAGATAATACTAGTGCAGCATGTTTTACTTCTCCAGTATTGAATACTCTATATTATATGGAAGCCTGAAAGATGTTTAATTATCAGGAAAATAATGTCACAATGCAATAATTATAGCTTAATTTTCTTTTTGCAAAACATCATTTTTCTTCTGCTTTTGGGGTGAAATATGGCCTGGTGTGGCCGGTTGCATAAACTGCTTAGACTGGTTATTTTAAGGCAGTTACATAAACATAGATTGTTCTAACTTGAATGCGAAAAGTAAAACATATTATAGCTTGACTAACTATAGGTGTTCAGGCTATATCCTAAAATACAGCCTTAAAACAGTGGCTGTGCTTTATGCAACTTTTGTGATTTTCACCTCAGAGCATTTCAAACTTCCATCTTTAGCAGCGTTGCATATTGGCCTTTTTACATTGTATTACTCTCAACCATTCTGAGATTGTCTTGCTGACATCTCTCTAAGTGTGCAGTGAGTTATTCATTAACAGTAGTGTTTCTGTCTATAAATGTAAGCCATAAAAACTACATGTAAAATGAATGTAATGATGCAGCCGGATGTCATATTAAAAGGACTGTCCTGTCATTTAAGAAAAATATATAATAAAAAGATATATTTAAAATACTTTGCTTTGTTGTAAGTAGCAGGAAGACAAATATAAAGACTTTTTGAACTTTAAAGTCAATTTTGTTAAGTATTGTTTTCATTTATATAGCACCAAATACATTTAATAAGAACATTCATGAAACTAATATTCCTCTAATTTTCTATTAACTATAATGCATGTATTTTAGTATACACATATATTAAAATTACATCTGTAAATAAGATATTGTGAATCATATGCTGAGCGAAACAAATTAGAACGAAATGACAAATCTAGAATATAAAATGAAACTTTAACAGACATTTGAACACATTTCTGAAGTACAGCTGTAAGGTGGAAATTTATGTTAATGAAGTTACATTTTTCCAAAGCTGAATGAAAATGGAAATGAATCCGCAGATCCTGCCGTGTCCTGTGTGGAAGAGTTCTGCCGAGGGCTCTCCGTCCCAAACGAGAAGGAAAACTCCTCTTGACGACTCTCGGCTTCATCGAACAGGAAACCTTGCAGAGAAACAAACCGTATTAATGGGTGAAAATGTGCATAAAAATAGGTTTAATCTTGTTCAGGCAAAATATATTTTTTATATTTTTCTCTGTGTTTGGTGTGCAATGTGTCCTCAGGAAAACAGGTACAAAAGCTGTCACCGGTGGTACCGTTTCAAAAAGTACAGTTTTGTACCTTTTAGATACTAATATGTACACTTTAGGTACAGATATGTTCCATTATGGACCCTTTGAGGTGTACATTTTGAAAAGGTACCGCCCCAATGAAAGCTTTTGTACCTTTTTTTTCTGAGAGTGTGGCTGTGTTCTTGACAGGTTTGGATGTTAGATATTACTCATGTTCATACTTCACCTGAGAACTTGGGTGCTGATCCTGGTGACTTCTTTTACCAGAAACACAAAATCAGATTTCAGTCATTTAAAACGTTCAGCCATTAAGCACAAACATCAATGCTCCTCCAGAAATACCTTGTCGCTGAAATAGGAGCGTGTGAAGGTAAATGGAGATGCCTACAACACACAAACACACACACAGATGAAATGATGAAACTCTTTGATGAATCAATGCATGTGCCAGTCTTCCAGCTGCTGAAGTTCACCTCTTCTGCTGCAAAATCACAGCCCAGCTTAGAGAACGCAGGTGTGCTTGGACCAGAATTCATGGAGAAGACAAAAGCGGGCGACTTGGTGTCTGAGATCTCCTGCCGTCCAGGTGAGGAACTGGGACTGTTGCTAACAGATCCAACAGTTATCGGTCTCAAACTAGTACTTTCTCTTAGATCTGTATTAATAGAAATAGTGCACTTAAACATAAATTATGTGTTTTTTGGATGCACTTGAAAACAGGTGAATTACCCAGTGCTGCCATCAGTTCTCTCTCTTTTTCCAGTATCTGTTCTTCCGTTGCTCTGATTCTCCTCTCGATTTCCTCTTTCTCAGCTTGAATCTTCAGCAGTTTTTGGGCCAGTGAGTTCTGACAGTATCGATCCTTATACTGCTGAAACACGTTCCTGTAGCTCTCCATTCTCTCCTGGAAGATTTTCCTTCAAAGACCAAGCATCTTTAACCCTATAAACCTACTGTATTTAATTTGATACATGCTTTTCTAAGGCCTATAATTTCTATGATTGCTGAAAAACCTGTTGCACACCATCTACTACATGCCTACTGCTGTCTGATTAATTATACTTGTTTGGCACAAACAAGTTTAATTGTACAAATCTCGTGCGTCACGTGTCTTTTTGCTGTGAAATCTTTACTGATTTATATGAAGTAAAGTAAGAATTAGTAGTAATATTTCAAGATGAACATTTACTGGACTCAAGCAACGTACATTTACTTGATACTACACTTTTTAGAATAATCATGTTAAAATGTTGACTTTACGTCTTGGGGTCTCAAATATGATCATCAGACGTTTATTTGTTCATCTCTCAATCATCGTATTGCATTGCATTATATGTTTTGAAACTACAGAGCTTTAATCATCAAACTAAGCATTTAAATATCATCGTACATTATTGGAGATATAGAGTGATGACTGATATTTATATCATTTTATGTAAGTATCTGCTATACCTTTATAAAGATCTAATTGATTTATATTATAAGCATCAGAATTTCATCTTAATTTTTGGCCATATGAATATTTTAGCAACTGCACCAAATTGCATATTTTTGCTCAGTTTGGGCCTCTGAATAAAATTAAGGCGTTTTCCCTCCATATTCTCACTATATCATACTATATTATGAGCAGAGCTGGGTAGATTACTTACAAATTGTAATCCGTTACTGATTCCAAATTACATGACAAATATTCTAGTCAGTAACGTAATCCATTACATTACACATTTTAGGTAATATATATATAATCAGACTAATTTTTGATTACTTTTGACCTAACTCGTTTATCACATTGATTTAAATAGGATTATCTTGTGGCATATTGATAGAAAAAGAAAAAGAACAGCCTAAATGTTGTTATTTACAACATGAAGTGCATTAAACATTTTATTACATCAAGGTTTCCCAAACTGGGGTTCATGAGGGAACTGCATGGGGTTTGTGAGTTCAATGAAAAGCAAATAATTAATTAAATCATAAAAATGTAAAATTAAATATAATTGTAATATATATTTTATTTGTTTACCTGCATGTCATGTGACCATTAACCAACGTCAGAGAGCCGTGAACATGCAAATGTGATACTTAGTTATTAAAATAATTATTTTAAAATCTCAGAGGTACTTCAAGTAAAACTATTAGGTGAAAGAGGTTCAGATGACAAAAAAGTTTGGGAATGCCTGCATTACATGTGAATAAGAAATAACGTTAATCATGTGTTTGAAAGAAAAAAGCCTTCCAAAGACATAATAATACATGATTAAATAACCCTCTGATAATTCAAATAAAAAATTAACGAGTTCATCAGTAGTTGATGCAATGTTGAAATGCTAAGAAAACACTTCTTAAAACTAAAATGATTTTTGTAAGTCCAGTGGTCAAATGCTGTGAAGTCACCTGACTAGTGACTGGTCTTTGTGTGAATGTCCACAAAACTGGACTTTCTGAATGTATACAAGCGGTAGGCTATTTTAGAAAGGAACATTTAAAAGATGAAAAAGAGGAATTAGGGAGAATCAATAAATTATGAAAAATGTATTGCTATTGTGTGAATAATATGTAATCAATAAAAAAAGTAACTGTAGTCTGAGTACGAGTATTTTAAAATGTAATTAATCTAATTACAAGGAATCTGATTACGTAATCCAGATTACATGTAATCAGTTACTACCCAGCTCTGATTATGAGCCATAAAATCCTGATGTGTCAAATATGATACTCAAGAGCAAACACATATGCAGACTTTTTCATATTTTGTCTAAAGGTTCAATAAGCTGTTCCATTTTAAAAGGAACGATTTTTCGGACTATTATTTCTTAGGCTTTACAGGCTGGACCTACATGTCTTGATTATAGCTGTCCTGTCTCGTCTCTAGCTCGGCTTCCAGCGTCTTTTCGTACTGAAGCAGCAGATGTCCTGTTCGCTGGAGACTGATATCAGAACAGTGGTATTTATATTATAGTATATTATACTCAGTTTTAATATTTGAGCTTAACCTCCTGAGACCCTGCATCCTCATATGAGGACATCATATTTTAGTGAATTTCTCTGAGACGTTACATGCCACAGTTTTAAGTCTGGATGTCCTGTACAGAGCACATTCAGGGCTTTTCAGAGATGCTAAATGTTTGGATGTTTCACTATGACCACCCCCTCTCTTTGGTCTTCAGATATGTCTGATATTAATTTAGTGACACTCTTATGGAAATAGGATAATATTTTGTAATTGTCATTTAAATCGGACAAATTTTTAAACTGTGTGCCATAAATCAACATCTCAGCAAGTATTACTCTCAATATTACACTTCTTTTTTCATTACATGTTGCCCCAAAAACACATTAATATGCAAATTAGATTTAGTTTATAGATACATTATATAGAATGAGAAAACCTGTTTGTGGCCATTTTTCACACATTTTGCATGAAGAAAAATGGTTTATCAAATCATTCTGTTATAACATAGTTGAGAATTATCTTTATACAAAGTTTGGTAAAAAAAAATCCTTAAAACTAAAAAAGTATTGGTGATTTTTAAAAAATCAATTGTTTTTGCCTATGCATGTTTATTCATGTCTTTTTATTTTTTTAAATAAATTGAGTCCCGATGTCCTCTACCAAGGACGTAGCATAACTTATGAATGAAATATCATTTTTTTTATGTTTACATTTTTTTAATGCTCTAAACAATGTAATGACATCAAAAAATACTAATTTTTTCCTAAAATGTTTTGCCGGGTCTTAAGAGGTTAAGAATACACACTTTGCCGTACTTTTTAGAGTTGTCTTTGATAAACCTCAAAGTGTTTTGTTTGTGCTGGATCTCCTCATTGAGTTTGCTGATGATCTTGTGAGTTGTGCCACTGTAATCCTTCTTCTCCTGAATGCTGGACTCACAAACTAAAAACACAAATGATGACATTTTGTTGTTATTTCAATGTGAGTGATTCTTCAATTAGCAGAATGTTTATCCTTTCTAAGTTGTTTCCACTCTTTTACAAACGTACTTTGTATTTGCTGTTTGAGGTCATCCTTCTTCTGAGCGAGTTCTCGAGTTTCTATACCTGTTTATATATAACAGTATACAGTTCATATCAAGTTAAACGTAAAAAAATATGTAAACAAATGATGAAATGAAGCGCCATCACTCACCTAACTGAAGCAGCAGGTTGTCCAGTTGATTTACCGTCTGCTCCTCCATTCAAAACCTGATAAAACACTCACAAATGCCACACGGATCACGTAAATAGATGTATTTTTCAATCTTAAAATGTTATTTAACTCAAATGTGGATTAACGTGTTTTGAACAGAGCCCGTGCGCGTCAGTTACGCCGTCCGTTACTGCGGGAGATTCGGAGTGTTGCCAAGTCCATGGTTTTCACGCGGATTACGGCTATTTTAACACTGTTGCCTCCGGTTGTTTTTCATGTCTGCGAGCGAATTTTAAAACAAACAAATAAATAAATAAATACAAAAACGTGTATTTTACGTGTATTCCCCCCCCCGGAACGCGATTGAGCTGTTTTTGGCCTAGTTTTGAGTAGCAATTGGGCGGGTTTTGTTGTGAAAACCTGGCAACCCTTGTGGTAAGTCAGAATCAGGGTTGCCAGGTTACTCAAAACTAGGGTTTTGTTGTGTAAACCTGGCAACCCTTGTGGTCAGTCAGAATCAGGGTTGCCAGGTTACCCAAAACTAGCTCAATCGCTTTCTGGGAGGTACAATACAGCACATGTGTTTATTATTATTATTATTATTTTTATTTTTTTATTTTTTTTATTTATCTATTTATTTTTAGTTATTTGTCTGTATGTATTTAATTTTGTATGTGAAGCTTTACAAGTTGTGATGTTTGTTTTTTCCTTTGATTTTCCTGTAGAGGTTCTATCTGTTCTGTACTGTTTATTATTTGATGCATAATAAAAAATAGTTTAGCTTACTAATAAATTTATTTTTAATATATTTAATATAATATATAATAATTATGGTATTAATTTAAATTAATATATAATAATTATGGTATTTGGTAAATAAAAAAAATAAAAAAACATTAAAAATTAATTAAATTAAATTAAGTATTTGGTTACCCTGGCGTGTGACAGGTCGTTTTCTGAATAAATAATTCAAGATTTGGGGAGCTGCAGATTTGACCATGTAACATCAAACATTTAATTAATAACATATTATATGCAATTTTGTATTTACACTAATTTATTATTTTACTTAATGCGCATTTATTTATTAAAATTAATTATTTTAAAGAAATAAATGCATATTTAATATACAGACGCTGAGTGTCATTGCTTTAACTGGGGGAGGGGCTTCGATTGATCGTCATCTGATTGGACGAGACAGACGTTCCAGATTCAGTGGGCGGGGCTTGCGGTCATTGTGGCCCAAGAGCATCTACATGGCGGCTGCTGTTGGGCATCAAAACCAGCTGAGCGTTTCATCGCAAGAGTTTTCACAGCTGTTCTTTCATGTATTTGCAACTGGAAGGTAAGAATGCAGTTATTATGAACTAAGCAGGAGCCTCTGGTGGTTGTGAATAAGACGTTTGTTACAGTAGATCCTGGTTTGGGTGTGATTAAACCCAGCTGAGAGGAAAACAGCCTCCGCCTGCAGCATGGAGCTCAAGCTTTACCGAGCACTGATTCAAAATAAACCGTGATCTCAGATATTAAAATTCAGTTTCAGATGCTGTTTTATTAAAACACACTCTTCTGATACTCATGTATGTCTGTTTCTCTGACAATAGAGCTGAATGGACGGAAGGAAGGGTGTTGTTGGCTACACAAAAGCTATTGTTACCTACATGTCAGTGTTTTTATATAATTTAACCATTTATTAATATTTTGAATTAGCTTTTATTTTTATATTTTCAGTTTAAGTTTTAGTAATTTTGTTATGTGCTCGTTTTGATTTGTTTTATTGTTATGTGTTTGTTGTGTTATTGTTAACTATTTTAACATTTAAAAATATTGGCTTTTAAAAATATTTATATTTAGCTTTAATTTATCTTTATTTCAGTTTTAGTCATTTTAATACTTCAACCTAAACTTATTTTATTCCAGTTGGTTGTCAATGCAACATTTCTAATTAGTAATTTTGTTATGACTTTGTCATTTTCATTAGTTTTTATTTTTCTATTTAGCTTAAATGTTGTTTTATTTCAGTTTCAGTAATTTAAGTACTTCAACCTAAACTTTTCTAATTAATTCCAAAACATTTCTAATTTTAGTTTTAAGCATGCAATCTCATGTCTAACGTTAGTAAAGTTTCCTTTTCATAAAAAAACAGACATATTTAAATTTTTCACCATAATTTCCTCCCTCTTTCTGACCCTTAATGATGATGCAAATTGGGAAGAAGTTTTGAGCTATGAAAGTGATGTAAAAGTTATACTCAAAAACTCTTATCTTAAAAGATTAAGGAAAATTCGATTCTTCATGATATGAGGCCTTTGACTGAAATCCTTTAAGTCAGATTTATTTCTGTAGTGCTTTATACAACACAGATGGTTTCAAAGCAGCTTCACATGAATAAACAGAAAAATAACAGCGTTAATGTCGTAAAATAATGGAACAGATTAAATTTCAGTTGTAAAGTATAAGACAATAATGACATTAATCAGCTCAATTTAGTTCAATGTTGATTCAATTCAGTTCAATAACTGTTAATGTTGTTAATGCAGTTGAATCCGTAATATTACTGAATATTAATGGTCTTTGTCTTAACATAGGGAATGCATAAAAAACCACACAGCACTCTGGATTCTGTCTCATCTTAAATGAAATGTCTTGACCTTATTGCCTCCAGACAGCTGCTACGTGGCGCTCACCGGGACCATCACGCGTGGAAAGAAGAAAGGTCAGATGGTGGACATTCACGTCACGCTCACAGAGAGAGAGCTGCAAGAGATGGCCAGGTCAAAGGAGCGTCTGGATGCCGAATGCGACGCTCACGAGGGGTTGAGCCGCTCGTGCGGTTTTGGGCTTTCTCAGGGTCCCCACGCCGTCCTGTGGAGTCTCTCCTGCCCTCCCGTCATCTTCGTCCTGTCCTTTATCACCTCGTTTTACTACGGTACTCTCACTTGGTACAATATTTTCCTGGTGTACAATGAGGAGCGGACGTTCTGCCATAAAATCACAGTCTGCCCGTTCCTCATCATCTTCTACCCCGGGCTCATCGTGGCGCTGTCGCTGGGCTTGTACTCGGCCGTGGTTCAGGTGTCCTGGGCCTTCAGCGAATGGTGGCTGTCGGTCAGGGATCTGGAGAAGGGTCTCTGCGGATGGGCTTGTGGGAAGCTCGGATTGGAGGACTGTTCTCCGTACAGCGTAGTCGAGCTGCTGGACTCGGACACCATTTCTGGGAGTCTGCAGGGAAAGTCACTGCAAACATCCTCGGTGTGAATGGAGATCATCCGAGATTTTCTCCACTGGTTACACAGCCCTGCATCTTCTGCTGATTTGCCAAAAATGCCTAGTATTAGCTAATTTGATGATGCTGAGTTAAAAAAAAATGTGAACTTTCCATCACATAGTTTTTTCACAAAATAAGAATGATTTTTCTAATTATATATATGTGTGT